CGCTCCGGGCGGGGAGCTCAGGTGCGCCGCCGGCTTAGCGGAGCGGGAGGCGCGCCGCCGGGCCACGCCGTTGGGGTTGAACCGCAGCCCCTGAGAAGCACTGCTGAGAGCGTGATGAGGAAAATAACTCTTAAAAATACTCGCAGAAGACTTTCAGGTTCTGTGTTTTTGCTTTTTTTTTTCTTCTTAATTTCGGTTCCCCAGTCGCGAGTACAATTGTGCTGAGAAACGACCGAGACCTGTGTTTAAGCAGCCTATTGAAAGAAAATCTCAGGAAAGCATTAAAAGGTGACCCAGGAAAAAAAATCAAGATAATCCGTTCTGAATGTAAAAATGTGGCTTTTGTCTCTTTTTTTAAGCACCGTGTCTTCATTTGTGCGTGTTTTGTCCCTGCGATGTGCTGATGTGAGTTTGGTTCATAGCTTTTTGGTTTTTCTTATTGTTGGTTACCTAAAAAAAAAATATATATATTTTCTGTTATGTTTCTAAACCCGTTATGGTTCAAACCTTCTTTTAAAGCAGTAGAGAAAATAAATGTTCTCATGTTACAGAGATTTCCATTTCGGGGTCCCGATCCTGCCTGAAATTTGTATGAGCTTTTTTTTAATTGGTCTGTGTGGTACCACCCTGGGCTGGGACCTCGTGGGGTTACCGTGTTTCTCTCAATTTTGGAAATGTGATTGTCAGTTATTTTTAGCTTTGTTAAAAATTTCCTCCTTTAAACGAACCAGAAGTCTTGTAGGAATTCCCAGATGCCCGGTTAAAAAAAAGTGAAATTAGTTTCTCATTAGTACATTTTTAATAACTTTTTGCTCTCCCTCTCTCTCTCTTAACTGCCTTTTAGTGGCCTATTTATAACATACAGACCTCCTAGACCGAAGAAGAAAGCTGATTTTAGACTGTTCTCAACCTTTGTAGGTAGAAATTTCACTGATCTTTGTCAGATAAATGAACTGCTGCTTGTCACAGCAATTTTAGCTGCTGCTTTCCCTCATGCTTTGTGGGAAACGTAGAAGGGACATCTTCCAACAAGAATTTTGGGTGCAGCTGTCAAATATCCCTTATCGCGTGGAAACTCTAGGAACTACCTGTTTCTTTAGTGCTTTTTCCAGCGTGGACTTGCACAGGTCTCTTATTCTGCTCCTCGAGAGGGTTTTGGCAGAGCTGTTGACCATAAATGCAGGCTGATACAGAAGCGCATGGACAGCACTGGCAGGCATACAGAGATATAAAGACAAGCCATTTACAGAGCCGGACATCTTCGGACACTGCCAGGGTGGACATTGGAAAGCCCTCCTTCTAGGGAGTCCTTAGCTTGCTTAACACCCTTTTGGGATGTGATTGGTGTCACAGACCGATGGGACTGCTTTGTGTGAGACATAAGAGATTTAGCAGCGGCCACATGCCCACACCTCCTGTCTGTGGAACACCACCTGAGCTTTGAAGCTACCCCAGAGTGTCAGTCTTCCGTGGAAATTGCCCTGAGTGAGGTGACAACCTTCAGTCATTGCAGCTGGTTTGTTGCTGCTTGTTTGGAGGTGTGTACGGTAACAGTGAGAGAGTGGACTGTTTCCTCGCTCCTTGCTGCTATATCTGTATGCTAGCAAAATAATCTCAATTTTTTTTTTTAATCTAATCGTGTTTTTCCATGCATTAAATAGACAGTGAAGTGCTTTTGTATATATATAAAGATGCTGATTAGGTGATATGAGCTGGCTTATCGGACAGTAGATAGACTATATACTAAATCTTTTGGCCATGGCACTTAATGTGTGATGTAATGCAGTTTCCTTTTCGTTTTTGTTACAAATTTTCCTCCTCCCATCATTTCTCTCCCTTGCCTGTTACTTTGAAGCCCAACAAGGCTTGTCCCGATGGTGTGTGCGCTACCAAGAAGCAGTGGTGTAGAGCAGCTGAAAGAATTTCTCTGTGAAGAGTCATAGGAGACCTGTGCCGACTCAGCAGGTAGCACTGCTATCATGGGGATTGCACTCAGTGAGATACATGGATCTTTTACAGTGGTATCAGGGTTTGAGGGAACTGAGCACTAATTCTCTCTGCTGAATTGGGCTGGGTTTTGCTTTTACTGTTACAGCTGTGCCCCAGCTGCTCCCAAAGCCATCAGAGCCCTTCGAGAATGGATCTGGCATCTCTTGATTCAACTACTTTGGTCCAGGTGCTCCAGAATAAAACGATCTCTTTCTCCGTACTAGTCTCTCCATCATGCACTGCAGGAAGCCTCTATGGGTGGATTGACGTCCATGATGTCCAATAGCAATTTCTGTTGCATGCCAATCTGTATGTTTGTTTTTTGACTGATCATGGAAATTCTATCATGCTTGGAGAAATGTCCTGCAAAGAGATCTTGGCTGTTGTCTTGTCTGGAGATCCCCTAAGGTTGATTGCTGTACAGGGCCACCAGAGTAATGGCAGGGCTGCTCTGTAAGACCACAAGTTCTGTAACCAGGTGGCATTTTTTTCATGAGGTAAGAGATCTTGAGGGATCTCCATGATTGTGCTGTTCTGTGTTGCTCCCGTTTTGTTTTGTTTTTTTTAATTATTGCAGTATTAGCTTTCCAGTAAGTGCTCCGTAAAGCTAAGAAGTTACC